TCCCTGTTCAGTGGTGCAGCTCTTCTCTCATGAGAGGGTCTTCATGGAGCACCGGAGAAAGCAGCATATATTAGAGCATTTTATGGGTTTGGTAAATAGGCTGACTGGCTTCTTCCTAGTACTGTAACCTCAAAGCTACAGTAAACTCTACTAAGCTCTGCTTTGCATCCTTTCATGCTTTGTTTGCGTGAATATCGGTGCCCCTTTCTATGCATTGCTGCCAGCGATTTTATGTATGCCAATACAGATACCAACTCCAGCTTGGACTCTTTTCCAAGCGCACTGAGCTGAGACAACGCCAACCTTCCCCATCCCCCAGGTAGATCCAGAACTGCATTCCTCTCCTGGTTTTTGGGGTTTTTTTTAAGTTTTAAAACTGCATCTTGAATTCATCCGCTTTGAACGCCTCCGACCTACAGTGGCGCGTTGCAGCGTGCCTCTGGTCAGTAGGGGCTGTCCGAGGGTGACTCGGGAACGGCGGATTTCAGGACAGGAGTTGGCGGTGAGGCAAGGGACGGCACCCCTCACTGAACACTGCGGTCTTTGATGCCCGAGGGGTGACTATACAAGCTGCTCCAGAATTACTCCTCCATTCCCAGAGATGTGTAGCGCTCGTTGGAGCGCGTCTCCACAGACCTGTGCTGGAAAACAGCTGCTCTGCTGGGTTTGCACTAATTTGAGTCTTGGATGGGCAGACCGCTAACAACAAAAAGCCCCTCTGTGTGGCCCGAGCACCCATGTTTGCAACACTCTGTGGCAGACTGGCTAGAAAGATGCAACCGGTTTCCTTGGCCGGAGGAAGCCCAGTTCTGACAAAAGCTTCATTTTGGTACTGCTGGGACCTGCTCACACTGGCAGTTCAGGCATCTTTCTAGAAGGGGATGTATCGAAGCACAACTAGCTTGTCATACACCAACAGAGTTTCCCTGGCCATCCATAGACCAAACCAAGAAAAGTGTGTGGAGGGAGGGAGTATTTGAGGGTGTTTTTGCAGCACAGCTGTAACTCAGACCATAGCTGCCTCTGGTGCCAAGCAAAGTGCTCTTCATTCTTCTAGAACTAAGTGGTGAGTGTTTGGGCTGGGTAGATGGGTGTGGGGATATGAGCTCTTAGGATTTGCTGTTGTCGTAGGTTTCCACAAATCAGTGTGTTTCACAGACAGTTTTCCTTCAGGTTTAAAAGTACGAGTCTGATGTCTGAACCTCCTTGGATTAACCTTAGTTTTTGTCTCTTTTTTTTTGCTTTGGGCTGCCATCATTCTATGAATGTATCCCTGAAAACAATTCTTAAAGCTCCTATTCCACAGCAAACCTGCCTCATTGTAACTTCCGATAAAACGTCTTGTAGGAGGTGGAAGAGAGAGTAACCACAGATCTAAGACTTCTTTTCCCAGGAAAATCCTGGAAAACGGTTGTTGAATCTTCAATACAGGGTTTAATCTAAATCTCATTGAAAGCTGTGTTCCCTGTACATGGGTAAGGGGGAGTGAAGGTCAGTAGTTCTGGATGACAAACAGTTGTATTTCGTTAGTATATCAGCCGTGTTGAGTGTGGGAGGAGAACGCTGGATCTTACGGAGACACTGAAATTGTGTGAAGTATGGGCTCGCTGCAGAGAACCGGGGTTGTTCCTGCAGCAGGGCCTCCTGTTAGCTTGGAAATAACAGCTTATGAACAGCTAAATTTTTTTTTTTAAGTTGGGAGTTTCAGTGGGGGGAAAAAAACACCCCAACCACCACCCAGCAGCGCTTCCCCTTCTGGATGAAGATCCAGCAAGAAAAACATATGCAACTAACAGCTTGGGAGTGTAAATTGTGTACATACGAGTCATTCCTGAATCTCTGCAACTGGTTCTGTCACGCATCGGTCCAAGTATGAAAATACTGTCTACGAAAAGACTCCTGCTAGAGGAAACCATGGTACACAGGGAAAAAAGCATCATCCAGGAGAGGTGTATCCCTCATTTTTGGGAGGGGGGAGGGAGAGACTTTATTTTGTGTATGCAGAAACTGGCCGAGTTTCACAGGATGCAGCTAATGGTTAAACCTGCCAGCTAAATACAACACACTGTTACAACTGAAACCAGCTCGCGTGATACTTTGCTAAATCTTGATGGTGCCCTGCGTCTTATTAAAAATCTGATTCCCCCAAATGGTTTTGTTCTCCCCCCGTGTTGTGATCCAGGGTCAGCTGCTATGCACAAAGTCTGCGTTTCGTAAAGTGTTTGCTGACTTGGATGTTTCTTTTGAATCCGCAACTGCTTCCTGATTAATTTGGCTGAGCCCACCCTCGTCTCCTCCTGAGCTCCGATTCAGCCAGTGCTACGCTGTACGCAGTTTACAGACACGGTCTCGATGTTACAAGTTAAGTTGCAGGGGGAGCAAATTCTTTACAGTAAGATGGTCCATTTTTCATCTATAGCGTTGCCCTTGTACATCAGGAGCATGTTTTTGGTTGGTTGGTTTTTTTTTTTCTCAAACTCTTTAGAAATACCGTTCAGAATAAACGTGCACTATTTGAGTTATGTCATTTACAACTTGTCGTGTACGGTTTTTTGATGTCCAGCCGTTTCCCTCTGAAATCAGATACAGGATGTTCCTCGGGTGTTTCATCAACCGTGTAATTTGGAAGATTTCTTAACGTGACCTGTGAGTTGGGCTGCTGTGATGAATGCCATGGTGTGTGACAACTGGGGAGAGTTGGGGTCTGTTTGTTCATTTTGCCTGAAGTTAGGAGCCTTTTCTCCTCTGTCTTGTGGGGTGGGGAGAGGAAGAGGAACTGTCCCAGAATATTTTTGCATCAGTTAGTGAGCAGCCTTGAAAATAAAGAGACCAGGCATCAAGAACTCTTGTCTGTTCAGCTTTATAGGTTAAATATTTTTAAGTATTCAAATGAATGGCTAGCTACTGCAAACCAGGACAACAATCCCTGAAAAACTATGGATTGTACCTGCAAAAGTAATAGGGCTTAAGATGCAGTGAGTACTCATCAGTACTGACTTTTCTCAGAGACACTCAAGTAAAACACTCTCTTCTTCACTCTTCCAGTCCCTTCTGATAAAGCTATTTTTTGTCTAGTTTCTTTCTGCTCCCCTTCGGCTCTGAAGTGCCATTTATGAAGTGATAAAGTTGCCCTGTGGTACATAAATACCCTGTTTAAGTTCCTCTGGACACTGCTCCATCGGCAGCTGGAGTTGCTGTGTTCAGTAGGATAGCGTGCAAAAGCAAAGCTCAGTCTCCGAGCGACTGTGGTCTTTGAGCTGCGGCTAAAAACATCTTCCCTGACCTCTGCTGGAGAGCCTGGAAGGCACAGCTGGAGAGGAACTGCTGCCAGCAGTGCAACCTCCATCCCTCCCACCTCACCAGAAGCTGGAAAACTTCTGCTGTACTTAAACTGTTCTCCGCACCACTCAGCTTTTAGTGATGTCTGTCATGTTTCTGTCCTTCCCTACCCCTTTCTAACATCCTGCACAGTTTTAGGCAATTCAGCGTTTCACAGGGAAACTACCCAAACCCCAGATAGTTTGTGTTGCTCCTTCCCGAACCTTTGCTGGTTCTACAGGCAGTTCCAGTCCCCTCACTGTATTCAACACATGGGTATTTATGGGCTCCTTGTAATCAATCTTCTGAGTTACAAAGTTTGCCTTTTTTGGGTACTTTTTTTGGTACCTTGAAAGAACATTTACAATGCCAGGATTTAATCAAAGTGAGCAATAGGTCAAGTCATTCACTTTGCATGGAAAACTGGGATTGCAGTTGTTGCCCAGTGTGTATGTCGCCCTATTTACCTACACTGGATACAGTTTGCTTTTACAGTGCACTCACCATTAGAAGGTTCACCTGTCATTCCGTGTTCTTATTGCCTTGACTAACCTCCAGCAAGTTTTCACCTCATCCT